CCAGTCAGCTCCAGTAAGTACACCTAGTGCCACTGCAGCCAGCAAGCGGCAGGGCGCAGAAATGGAAAAGAAAAATGAACGCACAAATGCTGTGCGATGAGAGAGGCAAACCCCCTCTCAGCTTCTCCCAGTGACACAGGCGCTCGGCCTCAGAGGATGGGGGAAAAGGGACGTGTATCTGGCCATAGCCCTTCCCTGCCCGCAGGTACTGATTCCAGAGAAGTTTCCCCTGCGATGAAGCCTGAGTCAACTTCTCCTTACATTCATGCACAGAAAGTTGCTCAAAATGCATCTACAAACACTTGGCAGGGGCGCAGAGGTGCGAAGGGCAGGTCTCCCGCAGGCAGCGCGTGCCGCGTGTCCATGTGCACAGACACGACAGCACACACCACCCCAAAAGCAAACACACAGCACGCAGCCGAGGCCAACATGGCAGAAGCACAGTCCAGACCAGCGCACGCAGGTGTGCTTCCCCTCAAAACCCCCTCTAATAAATGTCCAGGAATATGATAAACACAAGCGAATTCCCTCCGTGCCGCCTTCTCCCCTGCTCTCTGTAACCACCTGCCTTCTTTACCCTACAGCTACTGTATTTTTCTAGTCACGTCCTTCTTCCTCCGTGCACCCCCATTGCTTCAGTACATACTCTTGTTTATTGAACAAAAAAGTTGGCAGTCCGCTTCAGCGATCGTCTCAAGGCAACTTTTACACTGCCGCAGATTCATCCTCAGGTATGTCTCGTCTGTAATAACATCACTCTGCCCTTGATGCAGCACTGACCTACACGCACAGATTGATTTCCATGTACGTGCGCAGCCTTATTGGTTTCAGGGGGCCTGCCTGCGCACTTGAAGTTCGGTGCAGATAGAGTCCTTCACATGATTTTCTTAGCACAAAGCTGCCGCTGCATCGACCAGTAGCAGGTTGATATTCAGGTAATTCGGAGGATCAGGTCAAAGTGTTCAACTAAGGACGGAGAGCATGTGTCAATTTTCCTTTAAGCAAGGACCCAGTTTTGCTGTTGCTGAAATAATAAAGTGGTAAAATTTCCAGGGAAGTGCAAAACAGGGACTGAACTGATTACGAAGCACGCGCCTGAGATTCTTCCCAGGGCTGTGAACCTAGGGGAGAGAGACACAGAGGTCACAGCAGCACTTACGAACAGACCTGAATGCTGAAATTCGGGGATGCCAAATATTTGCCGAAGTGCTAAAAATCAGCACAAGGAGAAAGCACATGAAAATTCTTACTTTCTTCTCTTGACAGCCAAAGATAACCCTTTCTTTTGCATGGCCAGCCAGACCCTTACCAGCTCTTAAGAGCCTGTTTTCCCCCTTTCAAGGCTGCCATAGCACACCTGATGCTGATGAAACTCTGACATTTCCAGACCAAGGAGTTATTCACTTTGCAGTAAAAAGATCTAAAAAAAAAAATCATTTAAACCCTCAAAGACTGGGAAAACATTTTAAAAGCTCCCAAACGAAACTCAGAAACTGAAGAGCCACAGACCTCATCACACACTCCTCACCGGGGTGTTTGAAAATGCTCTTCCCTGTGTTTAACATCAGGACAGTTTCCTAAATCACTTTGATCACAGGTGCTTCATACAATTTAAATTACACAAAAATGTCTGCTTCTTCTATAGCTGGGCTTTTGCCCTGGCTTTTATGCAAAAATCCTATTTAAATGAGTTTCTGTATTCTAAACAATAGAAATTTAACAGCATGATCTGAACAAAAAAAATCTATTAAGCTCTGGTTCCTGAAAGCAAGCTTCAGGGAATTCACTTGAGTAACTGTCTGCATAGGAGTTGCTCATTACCAGCACAATGGGATTCCAAGGGTCCCTTACCCTAAAACCAGTCAGAAGAGCATGCTGGAGGAGGAATTAAGACCAACTTTTCATAGCACATTTCAGCATCTTCATAAATAAAAAGACAACAAGGTTCACATGAACAGCAAAACCCAATGCATATCAGCCAGGAGACAGGCAGAATTCAACAAGTTTTCTGAAATTCTTCTGCAGAGGACGCAAAGCCTGGCACCTTCACAGCTACCTGTCTGCCCCTCTTCCCCTTTGGGGGAGCTGCCTGAAGGCAGGCAGCGAGGGCTTGCAGCTCAACAGATGCTTCACGGTGGGGACAAGAGGATGAGAAGCCTCCCCTGTGCAAGATGCCCTTGCCTCCCACCCCGGCTCCACTGTCAGGCAGCTGCAGAGCCGGGGACCAGCCGGGGACAATCAACAGGGACTCGGACACCCACAGCCAAGGAGGAATAATAATGAGCTTAAATGAATTCAAACTCCCAAAGATAAGAGCCGTGTAAGCTAGCACACAAAGGGGAGCCGGGCAACGCAGTAGATGCTTTAGCTTCAAAACCACAAACTCACACGCTCCATCCTCAATAGCTTCATGCTGTCCTTTCTAGCTCTTCGCAAATACAGGAAAGGAGAGCATTGGCACTTAATAATTTATACGGGACCTCAAAACTGAAAGTAGGGCAGCCTTCATTTCCCCAGCGCCGAGGGATATGAGGTGGCTGACAGGAGTAGGAAGACACTGTGTGGGAGCAGAGGCCAAATTTTCCGGTGATGCAAAGGGGGGTCCTGCAAGACAACTCGACACATACAGGCTGCTCAAGGCTTTCCACAGAGGAAAAATGTCCTTCTCCCCCTCACCTCCTTTCCTGCTTATTTTGGGGTTGTGGGGATGACTGCAAGAGTGAGACAGTATTTTAAACCACAGCTTAAAAAGAAAATTCCAGTCCCACTAGTGTTTCCAGATCTTTCCAAAATGAAGGCCAGAAACTATGCGTGAGGGGTTACTCTAAAAATCAAGCACTAGCAAAAGCATGAGCCACTTAGTAGCTGGTCTCTCAGAGACAGAACAACAGATGACCAAGCCTGGTGTTTCCAGCTCACTTCGAGAAGCCACTTTGATATCTCACTGACTTTGCTGCTGAAGGAAGCTCAGGGAGGGGAACCACATGCCCAGGACTACCTGAATTCTTTACCAGGGATATCAGCTAGTGTTATTTCCCACCTCAGTCCCTTCAGACAGTCCTAAGACCACAGTCACACCTTGAACCTCCCTCCCCGCCCCTAGCTGCACTGCACGACACAAGCTGATGTGACGCACCGGGGTGAGAGCACTGCAGGATCTGTCCCGGCTGTTTTGTTGCCCCCGATCCATACTGCCTGGAGACAGCACCGGTTATCTTCTGTGTTGGCTCCCATCCCCTCGCTATCCAGCACTTGGAGGCTAAATTTAAGGCTCTAGGGCGCTCACATATTTGGGGTCAGTTCTACCTCCTCTAAAATCACAGGTAAAACTCTCCGAAGACATATGTGCCCCAGAGCCATGCATACTGCAACGGCAAAGTCCCCCGCCTTGAGCTTTCAGTCACTCGTTGAGAGGCAGCATGTTCCCAGGAAGATGCAGAACCAAGCCACACCAAAGCTGGAGCTCTGGATGATTTCCAGCGCAGGACTGACCTCCAGCCGTGTGCTGCCATCCCCATCCCGAAGAGCAGCAGCAGCAGGCGGAGGTGCTTGTGGCTGGATGGGGCAGAAGGCTGGATGGTGTGCCGGCCCAAAGAAGCTCCATGCCAAAACCACCAAGCTCCCAAGGCCTGGGCAGTTTCGGACGTTCACATTTCAGCCGAGGTAAGCTGATACAGACGTGTAGGAGGGTGCTAACAGGCCACTGGTCTCCATTTGTTTTACAGCAGATGCATGTGCATCTTAATACTTAGCGCAGCAACTTGCACCACTCAAAACAGAGGCCGTGGTATTTACTAGCATGGGCAGAGACTGGCAGCTTGCTGCTACGCAGCACCTGCGCGGCTCCAGATGGCTGCACGAGGCAGTCTGACTACATGGTGTGAAGTTCAAGCACCTATCTAGCTACATCCATGCTACTGGAAAAGAGGTCTGGTTGAACCATAGTGGGCTCTTGGCATGCGCTCATTTCAGGGGTCACAGTGCCACTGCTCAGCTGATTTATCGTAGTTTCCTCACTAAAAACATCTTCAAGAATGTCATCTCCTCCTCCACCAGTCAGAACCAAACTTACACCTTTAGTATAGATACATGAGGATTTAACTGGTTTTCCACACAGTAAGTAGGAAAGGGTAGCTAAGATCTTCAACTGCATCTGAGGCTTTAAGTTAAGAGCTTTTTCTTAAACAAAAACTTTGTGCCTGTACACGAGGAGCTGCACAGCTTTTGCACCTACAGGACACGCACTGCAGGCACACCTGTCCTATATGCAATGCATACAGGTGAGCCGATTTATTTGACTACAAAGCAGAGGGGCTCTAAAAGAGAAACGATTGGCATTTCTGCTTTCTCAGCAGTAAGGGCCAAACTCCCTAACCCCTCGCTCACATAAGCTGTTCTTATTCATGGGAGCAAATCTGTTTATACCAACATACTCATCTGAGTACAGGTTGTAGAGTGTGCTCTAAATCCCTGTGTAACAAAGCCTTCATAGCGATCTCGAGTTTGTTCCCAGAGCTCTAAATAAGCACCATTATGAAATGGCTTTGTGCTGCGTAAACACCACGGAAAGGAGTGGCCAGGCTGGGGGCTGAGTGATGGGGACAAACTGGAAAACTCAGGCAAGTGTCTATGTACAGAGAACGTTTTTCCAAAGCCAGCTCTGCAAGCAAGAATGAGGATGGATTTCCCCCATGTCCACACTTTCAGTATCCCGACCTTTCCTTTCCAAATATAATCCACTATTCAGACTCTGACACAGCAGACTGGCCCCTGCGTATCACGCTGACATGCAAGCCCGGGACCCAAGTCATCATGGTAGCTTAGCCTAGCTTGTTCCAGTTTTTTGTTCTGTTTGAAAAGGGATGTCAGCCTCCAACTGCCAGGCAGCATGCCTGGTTTGTGCTCAGAGAGTTGGTGCTTTTATAGCCAGACTTGGCACCGGAGTTCGGGGAATTTTAACTGGAAGATCTGAGTGCACCGTTTTGCACTGAACCCTTTCTTTTCTTTTCCTAAAGAATTAATAAAAAGAGAGCGAGTGTCTAAGCACTGGCATTAATAGGTTGATGTCCTTCAAGGAATCTGATGAAATGTACTTGTCAGGAAACACTTAGTAGACTGATGGGATGCCCCCAGCAGGCAGGCAGGCAGGCAGTCAAGCCAGCCTCTGGCTTTTTAATTGTGCATGGCACGATCTGAGTTCATAGGCACGATAGCAAATTGTGCTTTCACTGAAGAATCTTCCAAAATGAGCCAACAAGAATCTCCAGACAGCAGAAAAAGGCACGTAAAAGTAAACCGATCAGTTTAGATAACATGCCACGTTCTTGGTCAAGTAGACATGGTTTGATACAGCTGGAACTCACAAGCACACCAACTCTGGAAATCCAGCAAAAATCTCTCATGTCCTTGTACAGGAACATTGTCGACTGGTGAAAACCATGCACAGGAATTCAGCTGAGGGTGGGGAGAGGGAGATCATGTAACATGTCTTCTGTCCCGGCTTTCCGATGTCAGCCACTCTGCCTAGTAGTGGTGCTGGTACGCAGCTGCTGGGCTTGTGCCATGCTCGATGTGTTTCAGATGACAGGAGTGACAAAGCAAATGTTCATCTAGAGGGTAACAGCGATGCCCGTCTTCATCGTTCAGTTCCATGCCGCAGTCCTGCAAGGAGAGGCCATGCAAATTATTGGAGCATGTGTCCAGCTTCCAGCGTCAGCTGGGGTCTGCCTTCCAGGAGGGTGATTTTGTGACAAGGACAGAAGACACCCAGCCAACAGCTCCTTCCTATTAAGTCCAACATGTGCCACAGGAAGGCAGGCAACTGACACAGGCATTTTGAGGGGCAGCCTTGCACAAATTTGTCTTGAGCAGTTTTATTGAATCCGCTTTATCTTGTGGCAAGGTGCAACCCTATGTATTTTAAACATGCTCGTGTCTCCTTACATTCTCAGGTAGGATTCACCTCTTCACATTACAGTAACTGCAGTTGTGCTGATGTGAAACCAGCCTGCTAAGTCAGGGCCTCTTTTCACTGCATTAAGAGCACAGTAAGAGAAGGTATCTATTTATTTTAATTCACGGTGCAGAAGTATCAAGGCTCTCAGGGAAGCCCTGCCCAGAGACCAAACGGTGTTTAAGAGCTGGCATCTCTTGGGATTTTTTTGTGCAGCCATATCCTTTCTTCAGCCCCAATGACATATTCATGTCCCTTGAGAGTGAAGATAACTTACACGGCACAAGATCAGTCATCACCTTAGCATTTTTGAACAATCTGACTTGGAAATCAGATACACTGATGCGATCTGCAGCTCAAGGCTTCTGAAAGGCAGCAATAAACCTTACTAAGTCACAATGTTTCCTTCATTAATGAATAAACTCCCAACTTTAAAAGTGATAATTAACCCTTTGCCCATAACTTTATGGATAGCAAATAAAATTGCACCTGAGAGACATTGCTGCAAAAAAATTGTCCACAAACTGGAAATCTCTTAGCCACTGATAGAAAGGGTCACACAATGCAAGGTTTGAATGGCTCATCTACTGCCATTGGAAGGGAGGAGATTTATTTCCATCTTAAAAGTAACAGTAGTTATCACTATTAAGTGCCCACTCCCTGAGAAAGCTGCTGACCTACCTCGCAGTGATAACATTCCACGTGGTAATCCTTGTCCATGGACACAACCCGAATGGTCTCATCAGACCCCTGTAAGCATTCAAAGGATTACAGCAGGATCAGCCACATGCACTCTGTAGATTGCTTCCTGCAACAATGCGAGCATTGACAAAATGCATTTGGGCTGCTGGTTAGACATCACAAATAAATCCTGCCACCTGCAGTTATTTTTACAGTAAAGCTTCATCATCAACTGACTGCAGGTATCCTCTAAAATGTAACACCAGAAATGTACAATTCTCTCTGTTGAACAGTCACACCTATCTCAAATCCTGCATTAATCATCCGGTAATTTCAACATACCACATTTCTCAGCATTTAAAATTGGTTTTGCCCAAGATTCATCTCCTCCAAGTATTAAAACAAGTTAGTCCCAGAGGGGTCACACAGTGGTCATTCATGAGTGCCACCAGCATTTATTGACACGAAGGAAAGGTATCCCAAACATAAAACTAACAGCAGTATAATTTTGCAGGAGACTAAAAACGCAGCGTGGCCCAGCAAGAATAAGCTTCCTTATCGAGGAAAAGAAGGGCCACATCTCAAGAACAGCATACGAGCTTAGGTCAAAAGGTTACACTCCAGAGGAAGCGATCATCTCTCCCCATCCACAAGGACATTCACAGAATCATAGAATCATAGAACTGTTTAGGTTGGAGGAGAGCTTCAAGATCATCGAGTCCAACCGTTAACCTAACACTGTCAATTCCACCACTAAACCATGTCCCTAAGCTCTGCATCTACACATCTTTTAAATACCTCCAGGGATGGTGCCTCAACCACTTCCCCAGGCAGCCTGTTCCAATGCTTGATAACCCTTCCAGTGAAGAAATTTTTCCTAATATCCAATCTAAACCTCCCCTAGCACAATTTGAGACCATCTCCTCTTGTCTTATCACTAGTTACTCGGGAGAAGAGACCAATAGCCACCTCACTACAACCTCCTTTCAGGTAGTTGTAGAGAGCAATAAGCACTCCCCTCAGCCTCCTTTTCTCCAGGCTGAACAAGCCCAGTTCCCTCAGCTGCTCTTCCCAAGACTTATGCTCTAGACCCTTCACCAGCCTCGTTGCTCTACTTTGGACATGCTCCAGCACCTCAGTGTCCTTCTTGTAGTTAGAGGCACAAACCTGAACACAGCATTCAAGGTGTGGCCTCACCACTGCTGAGTACACAGGGACAACACTTCCCTACTCCTGCTGGCCACGCTATTTCTGATACAAGCCAGGATGGCGTTGGCCTTCTTGGCCACCTGGGCACACTGCTGGCTCATGTTCAGCCGCCTGTCGACCAGCACCCCAAGGTCCTTTTCTGCCAGGCAGCTTTCCAGCCACTCCTCCCCAAGCCTGTAGCGTTGCACGGGGTTGTTGTGACCGAAGTGCAGGACCCAGCACTTGGCCTTGTTGAACCTCATACAGCTGGCCTTGGCCCATTGATTAAGTCTGTCCAGATCCCTCTGCAGAGCCTTCCTACCCTCCAAGCAGATCAACACTCCTGTCCAACTTGATGTCATCTGCAAACTTACTGAGGGTGCACTCGATCCCCTCGTCCAGATCATTGATAGAGATATTAAATAGAACTAGCCCCAATAACGAACCCTGGGGAACACTACTTGTGACTGGCTGCCAGCTAGATTTAACGCCATTCACTACTCTTTGGGCTCGGCCATTCAGCCATTATTTTATCCAGTGAAGTACACACCCATCCAAACCATGAGCATCCAGTTTTTCCGGCAGGATGCTGTGAGAAACTGTGCCAAAGGCTTTGCTAAATCTAGGTAGACAACATTTACAGCCTTTCCCTCATCCACTAAGCAGGTCACCTTGTCATAGAAGGAGATCAGGTTAGTCAAGCAGGACCTGCCTGCTCGACACAGGGTCAAGTGTGAAAGAGAGCGAGACCTGAGACACAACGCACCCTCCTCTGAGTGGACACGGAATAAAAAGCTCTCACCTCGGAGGGCAGAATGGGAAGTCCACAAGCTGCACACTTTGGAGCTAAAACTCTGGAACAGCAATGAGAAATTGAAAGCAAGTTATAGATCAACATAAAAAGAAAGACCTGTAAGTTATCAGCGACAAGATGAAAAGCTGCAGCTGTAAATAACTTATCCACAAGAAAGCTTTGCATCCCAAGATCATAAATTCATTTTAGCATTGATTGTAAGTAATGTTTGGCACACGTTGCTCAATCAGGCAAAAAGAGACCTTATACTTTACACTCAGTGCCAGAAAAAAACCCAAATCACTGTAAAAGTCTTGGCTGCTACTGAGAGTTCTGGAAGAAAAAATGAGGAGAAAATGAGCAGGACCATCCCTAGAAAAACACATAAAAAAAAGTGGCAGCCCCAGGGCAGGAAACCTCAGAGAAAATATGGGGGACTGTACGGTTCCTTAACGCCTTATAACTCAACGTAACATGATAAATAAATAATTACGTTAAATTAAATTGCAAGGAAATATGTATCATTTCAGAACAACGGTGGCACATGGAGGCAGTTCTAATCTTGGCACAACACAGAACAGTTCCAGGGGCTGCCTGAGCAACACTTGATGCTCCGCCTGCTCAGAAAACAGAACAAGAGGCAAATCAAGCCAGCAGGACTCTCAAAACCTATGCAGCTCTAATATCACAACTACCAGCTAAGAGAACAGCTATTTTATTTTACTGTCTACATGACAAGTGATTTTTAAAGTAGATTTCTCAGTTGTTTAATTTAGAGCTGGATAAAAGTTTTGCTTTGCGGGTTCAGTGGTGATTCTTTAAAAGTCAAACTCAGCCCTTCAGCTACTCAAAAAGCAACTCACACTGATTTCCACAGATGTTCACAGTCTTACTTTAGAGCAGGCTAAGCCCTTACATCACAGAACACTTCATGAGCACTGCTTCTCACTATCTCTGCTTTGCAGAAGGGGTAGCTGAAATCCAGGGCTTAAGTGACTTGCTCAGAGTTACACAGGAGTCAACGGCAGGATGAGAGGAGAGACATCAGGAATTTCTAGCATCTAGCCCCATCCTCACACTTCTAGCGTCTAACCCTGACCCTATTTTACTAACCCGCAATTCCTAACTAGTTGAAAAGCAAAATTAGAGGCTTATTGATTGGAGCATCTCTGCTGTTTATTTTGTCCTTACTTGTGGTAATCTCTGACACAGTAGATTTTGTTTTCAGAGTCTACAGTGAACGGCACACCATCCAGACACTCGTTGCAGACCACGCATCGGAAGCAGCCTGGATGGTATGATTTTCCTAGAGCCTGCAGGATCTGCAACAAACCAAGAGACAGGAAAAATGCATGTGAACGGCTAATAAAGGTGAAAATAATAAACACAGAGATTTACATCAGAAAATGCTACATATTCATCAGCGCGTCTGTGTCTTTTTTTCAGGCAGCTCACCCAAAAAATGAGTTAACAGGGATAGAAAGGGCAGCTGGAATCAATACATATCACCTGGTTCCAGAGAAATGAATTATTAGCATGGGTAAGAAAACAATTTAGAGTCTCAGTCACCGTAATTACCATTACAACGGATAAGAGTGACAGAACTTAAAGGAAAGAAAATAATTTCTAAAGCCAACACGTAAAGAATACTTAGCAGGATCACAAGGCAAGACGTACCAGGCCAACAAAAGGAAATATATCTTTATATTCTCCATGAGAGGATGAAACAAATACTATTGCTAGGCTTTCATAATTCCTTAGCTATCCAAGAGCTTTCTACTCACTAGCCTGGCTTTCTAATGAACACAGACTATGGAAAATGTGTCGAACTCAACAGTTGCAATTCACCTGCTGGCTTTGGGGCAGCAACTACTACCTGGAATACCACGGTCCATCGGCCAAGTGATCAGACTTCTGAGTATAAAACAGCTTTTCCAATTTTAATGCTTTCTAGTGTAAGCAGGCAAGCAAAGATAATTAACGATAAGCATCAGAAAATACTGGGAGGCGTGCTGTGAACTGACTACCCAGAAATACCTAATTTCCTTGCCTCAGCTGTAGTTTTACACCACCAGCTACAAGACCATGAATTTGTCTCCCTGTGAATCATCCACAGCTGAATGCTGCCCGGTGGTGGCTAAAGGCCAGCTGACCCCCTGAGCCGTGGCCCACTCCGTGCACATCTTGCATGGATGGTACCTGCTGTAGGCTAATGAGAACTGCCTGCTTCAGC